ATCTGTTTGTTAACTCCTGAAACAATTTTTTAAGTTGGTCCAACAATTTTCATATTTCAGTGGAAGGAGTCAAACAAGAAGAAAGAAAATTAAACTTGTGTAAAAATAACTTTATTCAAACAACACAACAAGTGTCTGCAGAGGAAGCGAACACGTCAGACGAACACGTCAGACGAAGAACACGTCAGACGAACACACGTCAGACGAACACGGCAGACGAACACGGCAGACGAACACGTCAGACGAACACACGGCACTGGAGGAAAGCAGCTCGCTAACACTAGCAGGTTAGCTTAGCACAAACACAAAGCAATGGCTCTGTCCAGTGGTTGAAAATATTTACACATTCGATCTTGTTCTGACTCTGAACTCAAAAGTGAAATGTGACTTCTAAAACACAAAAACACACTCAGAGTTCTTACAGGACGTCCACGTCCGAAGTCTTTACGGAATACGAGTCCGTCTCCTCGGGTGTCCAGCTCGTCCTGAGCTGTTCCCAAGCCTGATGGGAGATGTAGTCCCTCCAGCGAGTTGTGTGCCCTGTAAACCTCCGAACCGGTGAACGCCTCCTGAACTCCTCCCTGTTTCCTGAGCTCGGACACCAGATGGAGGAAACTGACTTCGGCTGCTCGTGTCTGTGATGTCGTTCTGGTGGAGCGTAGATCTTCTGAAACTAAAGTCTGTTCACGTTCGTTCTCTAGTTTAAACTCACAGCTGTCGCTCTTCTCTGGAGTTTTCAGGATCTCAAACTGATGAACTGATTCTTGTGTGAACGCTGCTGGTCTGGTTTTATTTTGAAAACCCTGGGGTTGTGTTTTAGTCAGGACAGAAACGATGACGCAGACGTTCTCTTCCTGATTGGTTCGTATCAGTCACATGACTCGACTACCAGCGATTTCATTTTAGTGTCTGTTTAACTCTGAATCAACCCTAACCTGAACTCAAGCCGTCACCTTGACCTTTAGAGCAAGTCTTCACTTAAAGCTTTTCATGATTTATAATGTGTGACACACACACACACACACACACACACACACACACACACACACACACACACACACACACACACACACACACACACAGGTGAGGCTGACTCGTCACGTTCGGAGAAGACAGACGCGTTGATCAGACAGAGGTTCGACTGGACTTCCCTCTCTCGTCCACAAGGCTTCTCCAGTTCCACCGCACTCGCTCCAGAAGACAGTTGAGACACCGTGGCTCCGTCCCTCATTAGTACTGCACAGACTCAGGACACTTTAAGCTAAACTTCATCAGTGACACCTTCCTCTCGACCTCTTTGTTTCCTGGTTCCCGTCACTCGAGCTGTTCAGAAGCTGGAGCAGCTAAAAACTAAAACACGTAAAACACATTCTGCAAAGATTTGCTCACACGTCCCGTACGGAGCTAGAACAGTGTGAACTCAGGTTACACGAACAGTGAATGTGCTGAAACCAACAGAACGCAAAGCATTCAGATGAAAGTGCAGACACGTGATTCTGTCTTATTCTTTTAAACATTCCAGTTTTCTCCTTTTTTTTTTTTTTTTACAAATGTTTGTTACACTTGAAAATACAACGGCGTGACGTAGTGGCATGCGGCTGCAGAAGGGGGAGCTGTGCCTCCGTTTCCTCCCTGTGATCCAGAGACTCATCCAGAAGTTAAAGTAAAATCTAACTTAAAAAAAAAGAAATACATGAATAAATAAATAAAACTATGATAAAACAAAAACCTTTAAACATTTCCAAAACATTTGTTGGAGAAGTTTGAAAACAGCGTTAAGAAAAACTGAAACCAGGAAAAATACTGACAAACTAAAATATCTATCGTAGTTTTTGGTTTCGCATTGGCACAGATTTTTGAGGATTCTCATTCCAAAGTGCTACGTAAGAAAATCTGAATCAGTCCGTTATCACAGACAATGACTCATCTTCTAACGATGGAGGCGGGTTATCTGTGAAGTCCTTCAGCTTTCGGAATGAAATCCTGGCTCGTGACCTGTCGTTGCTACTCAGCAAAAAGAAAACGAAACCCTCAACATTTCTACTGTGAACGTTCTTCGCAGCGTTTACGTTTTATAAACTGAAGACGTTTACAGCTTGAAAAGATTTGACGTGATATCAAGATGATTTCTTGGTTTGTTGACGACCAGATTAACTCTTGATTAATGACATGAACTAAAAGGAGGCTGTAGTGAAATGTTCAGGTAGAACGTTCGCCTGTTACATGTCGAGTGTTCTCTGTAGAAATCACTAGAAAATCTGCTCGACAGCAAAGTGACAGGAATCTAAAAACTGTGTTAAAATCCACGTCTACGTTTTCCTAACGATCTGACTCATTCTCTTTATCTCGATAAGAGGCGTGGCTTGTTTCCATGACTTCTCCGTAATCGGCAGTGCAAAGTTACATCTGAGGCACAACTTGGGAAGTTCTTTTGTTTTCAGACTTGTTCCATAGTGTCTTTAATTTTCTGATTGTCTCGAAGAGCTGTGGCTTTAAAACTGTCGGAGGAACGACTTCAGGGCTTGAGGCTGAAAAATGTGTTTTCCAGAATCTTAAGAATTATGGGTTTTTGTTCTGTCGTCACGACTCAACATTTCATTATTATATGTAGACATTGGAGAGGCACAGGTCGACCCACAGGTTGGTACGACGGACGAGAGGGAGGCCAAAGCATGTGGATCGCCCCCTGGTGGCTAGCTGCAGTTCAGGTCATAAATAGATGAAGTAGACGAAATACATTTTCTTCTTAACAAACTGATGCATGTTCATGTTTCTAGTTTGGTTTGAAGTTATTTGATGATTGAGATGAAATGGGAGGTAATTAAAAACAGGGGTAGTGGGTCGCGTCAGCTCGAAGTTTAAGACGTATTTTTACGACAGCTAATAAAAAACTTGCGACCCGTGCATCACGAGCGTACGTGCTGATAAGAACTGTATCCAGAAAGTATGCTTGCTTGTTTTCTAATCACGCATCTTGCTCATGAAGCTGGGATCTCTAATTTATAGGAAATAACCAAATTCTAATTAGGAAATAACGAAATAATCACAAAAGTTTTGCAAATGCAACAAGCTTCAATAAAACATGAGTCAGTCTAAAGCTTTAGTTTCCAAATATTCTTCAAAAGCTTTGTCTCTGTGAGTCGTTCGTCCGGTGAGAACATTTCACTTCCTCCTTCTTTCTTTAAAAGTGACGAGAGGTGTTCGGATACGATCGCGGCGTCAAAAGTAAAGTGTAAAGTGGATTAGTTACACCAAGAAAAAATCGCTTCCTCTTGATCAGCTGTTGCGCTGTAGTGCCACTTGTAGAGAGGCGAAGAAGACGTGATGCTCAGAGCTGACGTGTTCAAGTCCCAGATCCTCGATGTTTTTATCTGGGTTCTTTTTCAGTTCTGATTGTCAAACTAGATAATAACAGTTCTCTATATATCGTATCTGAGTGTCTTATGCTTTATATACTTTGTATTTGTTTTTAAAAGTTTCATTCAATCATCACTTGACAGGTTAGTAACTTAGCGCTGTTAAAACTCTTCTTTAAGTCGTTTTTACAAGTCCAGGCATTGGAATCGGCATCAGGAAGGAAAAATCTCTAGAATCGGATCGTCTCTCAAATACTGTGTTCGTTTGAATGTTGATCTTTTTCAGTCATCGTTCTTTCGTTCGTGTGTTTGTGTTTCCTCTCGTCGACATCTCGTCCTCAGAGTTCACTGACCCTTTCACTGAGGGTCTCCAGCTCCTCGTGTTCTTGGTAACGTTCTAGCCCCGGTCCGCTGTCGCCGCGTGGGCCGTTGCTGAGGTGCAGGGGGTAGTCGAGCCCGCTGAGCTGGGCGTGGTGGTGCCAGCGCAGGTCATCGCTCTCGTGGGTGATGTAGCGCTCGTTCATGCGGGACTCCAGGTTCCTCAGGTCCAGCCACATCTGGTAGTCCTGGAAAACAAACGCTCCAATTTGTCTCAGGAGCGATGGTTGGTCCATCTGCATCTTCAACACTATCCTCACAGAGAACTACCACACAACTTATACTGACAGGATGAATATCCTCCTTTTGTCCCTGGAGAAGTAACTGACGGAGTGATAATTGTAAACAATCAGAATCATGTCCAGTGAGATGAATAGTTAAAGAAACGTTTGGAATGAGACACATGATGTTGTTTCAGTCTCTCTTTCCTCTTGTATGTTATATTGGATTGTTCTGGGAATATGCTCAAGGTTTGTGGTGAACGAAGCTCCTGAAAAACCTTGTCTGACGTCAAAACACCATTTTCAAATATATGTATCTTCAAACTGGAGCCTTTAAGTAAATGTTTTGCTCTCAGATCTTGAATCCAGTCTGTTACCTTCCCTTTGACCTGAGTGTTGAATCCAGTATTTACCATATTTAAATGTATTCATTTACCATCAGTTACTTTAGTGAATTTAAAGTATTACTCCGTCCTCGGTTTCGTCTCTGTTGTTTTCTCTAATCTGTTGAAATGAAGACTCAGATGTTCGATGGTATACGTGTCTCTTACCTGTAGCCAGGGGTGACTGAGGGTCTTATCGACGCTGTACCTCTTCCTCATCTTTACCTGCAGCAGGTTGTTAATCAGGTCGATCACTACAAGGAGGGAAGGGCAGAAAAAGGAAAGAAGGAATCAAGATAAAGGAAGCAGGAAGAGGTGATGAGCGAGAAAAATGTGAGGTGAAGCGATGAGGGGGAGGATGTGGGGTTGTTCTCCCCCCCGCTCGCCCCCTGTGGTGGGGTGCCAGTCGGGGCTAATGAGCAAAGCTAACATGATGTTAACATTTCTTCAGGGGTCAGTGGTTTGAACAGCTCTGGGACCCCGGGCCCCTCAGGTCTGTGGGGGCCTCCATCGCTTGGTATTATGCACATGAATGGACCACCACATGAATAGACCCCCCCCCCCCTTCAGAATCTGTCTAAGTCTCTTTCTAAGAACTGCCCGGACGCTCAAATATTCCTCCCACACTTCTCATTCCTCTGAGTCACATGACCCACCTTTAATCTGCCAAGTCCTTTTTGTTTTGCACTCGGGCCGAGGGATGGCGATGTCCGTCTGTCCAGCTCAGAGTGTCCACGGTCTTCAAAAGCGTCGTGTTCAAAAGAAGCTCCCGACGCTGTACTTCATTTACGAAGCTCAGGGAGCGTGAGAGTGTGAGATGTATTTCTGAATATCGTTTTAATCAAACCCGCACAGTTGTTCCTGGCCTTAAATTATTCGTTTATTTCGTACGCGGTCGATTAGTTAATGAATTCACTGTCCTGCCGATGAACGAGCGCGTGAGTCAGACTGATTTAAATCCGTCTGGCAGTCAACAGGACAATTCCAGCCAGCGCACAAATACATTTATAGACAATGACGACGACATGAGTCACGCAGCAGCAGAGAGAGACTCATCATAATGTTCCTGTGCTGTGGTATAAAAGCATGTTCACACTATTTTTATCTTCTGCTAGAGGAGCCCAGCTTTATAACAGATAAACTCAGATGCTCTGAAGTCCTCTGCGGTCCTGAACAAATCTGAGTAAATGTTTGTCCGAGATGGTTTCCTTCACCCGCGGTAGTTTTTATCACACTGATGTTTGAGTTTGAGTTCTAATTAGTGATTGGATGATATGAAAGCAGGCTGACTCTTGATTTGTTGAGCGCACGTAGTTTCCTCAACTCCAAAAAACATCAACAAAAGTGTTGATGTGTCGTTCATCTGTAATTATTGCAAATACTTGTCAATTGTTCGAGCGTTGTTTTGTCGGAACCAGCTCGGAGCTGGTGTTACAAACCTCAGATGAGGTCCTCTGCCGTACAAACCTTCCTGGGAGATTTTCTTCCAGGGGTGAGGAGGGTACATGAAGGCAGCGTTCTGGATCTGATCGTTGATATCTTCATCTTCATTGAACGGAAACGTCCCGCTGAGGCTGCAGTGGAGACACAAACAAATATTCTCTGCTGAGATGCCTCCACCAACCCTTAGTGGTCAAAGGTCAGAAGTGACAGTGGCCATTAACCACTAAATTTGAAAGGAGTCCCTGTTGTTGTCGAGATATTGCGTTCACAGGTCCAACAGGTTTTGTGAAGTTACTGTGACCTTTGACCTCTAACCACCAAAATACCATCAGTTCATCCACGAGTCAAACTGCTGTTTGAACCGAATCTGGAGAAGTTCCCTCAAGACGTTCTTGAAATTTAGAAAAACCTGAAAACGCCCACTGGGTGTCGCGGACGCTTCAGTTCCCTCGTACCTGACGTAAATGATGACTCCGACCGACCACATGTCCAGGGAGCGGTTGTAGCCTTTGTTCCTGAGGACCTCTGGGGCGAGATACGCCGGCGTGCCGACCACTGAGCGCCTGAACGACTTCTCACCGATGATCCGAGCGAAGCCGAAGTCACAAAGCTTCACCTGCAGCGAGAGGATAAAATACTCTTAACGTCAGATCTTCACGAATCGTTTGTCTCATCGCTGTGTCACATTACACTGTTCACTGCTGTCCCTGTTCAAACCCCCCCCCCCCCCCNACACACACACACACACACACACACACACACACTATTAATATAATAATAATACGAATATCACTTTAGTGTGACACACACACGCACACACAGAGGACCTGTGGAAATGAGTCTGCAGAAGCCAGCAGGACGTTTTCAGGTTTCAGGTCACAGTGGACGATGTTCTTGAAGTGGAGGTGACGCAGAGCGACGAGGATCTGATGATGACACACAAACACACACACACTGAACGAAGCAATACAAACATTATAAAGACCTTTGCACAATAGACACTTTTTAATATTGTTCTGCGATTAATTCACACGTTTATTAGCATTTTCTAATTTGTAAAAGACGTTTGAGGTCTTTTAATCTTTAATCTTAAATCGAGTGGCGCTTGATGTGAGTAGTCAGCTGCATCGAAAGTAATTTAATCAAAGACATGTCCAGAAGGTGGCGCTGAAGGAAAGGTCACAGTGTAGAGTTCATCCAGGTGATTTTGTGGAAATCTGATGAGGAGATAAAACAGCGCCACCTTTAGTCCTGCAGCCGTAGTGGAAATATCAAACAATCCTGGTTAAATCTGAATATACAACCAGCGTCACAACACTAAACTACTCGATGCGTACAGCGTCGCATTTCATGAGCTTGTGTTTGTTCACCTGCGTGACGAGGAATTTGGTGATCCTCTCGGGCAGTCGTCCCTTCTCGCTGGACAGGATCATCTCCAGCATGTCTCCGTGGAGCTTCTCCATGACGACGAACACTCGCTCCGGCGTCTCAAACATGCAGTCCAGGTTGACCACGCCCGGGTGGTGCAGACTCTGGAGGGACGAGGTGAAATCAACCTCATCAGCTGCTGGTGAACATCCACACATGTTTTTACCATCCTCAGCAGGCAGCAGATATCAAACCCCTGTGACGTCACCTGTTGGTTTCTGTTCTGAAGCCTCAGTTTGACTTTGTGTTCAGCGCCATCTTGGTTTTTTAAACCAGAAGTGATTTGGAGGAGCAGGGGGTGGAGCCTGATTGAGAGATGGAGGACACGTCCACCTCGTCCACCTGCACCCATTGGACGACACCAGCCTCTATAGACTTCTATAGAAACTACCAGTGGAGTCACTTTCCATAGACTTCACTTCGTGTGTGTGTGTGTGTGTGTGTGTGTGTGTGTGTGTGTGTGTGTGTGTGTGTGTGTGTGTGCAGCAGCAGCCTCCGTCATCTGAGCAGCGCTGCAATACTACATGGATATCACACCCCCACAGTGTTGCTACGGTAATGAGGTCGTTCACGACAGGAAATTTCACTCATTGACACCAGTTCCTGATCTGTGTGTGTGTGTGTGTGTGTGTGTGTGTGTGTGTGTGTGTGTGTGTGTGTACCTGCAGTATGGCCACCTCGTTGCGCAGCTGACTCTCCTGTTTTGTGGGGAAGCGGAGTTTGTCGATGATCTTGATTGCGACATCTCGGCCGGACTTCCTGTGTTTACCTGCATTCACGTGTTTTTATTTTCAAGACAAACTCGACTGAAGAGAATTTTCCTGAGACTTTAAAACTCTGGATTCTCACTGAACTCGTCAGAGCTTCATACTTGTTATAAGTTATTTATCTAGACGAGGCCCTAAAATTACATAAATGAGAGTGAGTTTACTTTAAGGATAATAAGAAGCTGAGGATGTGTCTCTCATCACTCAGTGTGTTTTCACCTCCGTAGACGATGCCAAACTGTCCCGAGCCAAGAACCTCATCTGGGAAGATTTGATACACGGAGTTGATGTCCTGAAAAACACAGTTAACTCCTGAGAAGAAGCTCACAAACACTTTTCCAGACATTTTCTGCTGCTTGTGTCGTCACACAGCTGAACATCAAACCATCTGCTGAAGGTCTGAGTGGAGTGAAGTGCTGCAGCATCTGAGGTTCAGAGGTTTAAACGTCCTGGTTGAGGTGAATAAACCTCAACAAGGGCATCATGAAGAAGAACAAGATGTTTCACAGAGTTTTCAAAGAAATGAATTATTTCGTTTCCACCTCATATTATTTTAAAAGAAGTAAAACCTTTAATTAGCAGACAACTTAAATACCCTCTCTTGCCTGCAGCAGTGAAGTATCTTACGATGTGAGTTGTCGGGGGACATCACGCTCTTAGAATCTGAACGCAGGAGTTTCAGTGGGTTTCATGAAACCTGCAGCGAACACTGTCACTGCTGCAGAAGAAGAAGGAGTGAACAACGTAGATTCATTGATTTTTAATTAGAAAATCTATCCGTCTGTTAACTGGCTCCACGTCGTGTTGATTTAACAACACATTTCTACATTAAAATCATCCAACCTGCAGAAATCTGTACTTTAATCAAGGTAGTGCTGTGTTTCATTCGGTCGCCTGTTGGTGGCGTCATATCCTCCTGTGCATGTGTCAGACTTGTTTGAAGTCACATTTTTATGAATCTAACTCTATATTTGAAGCAGATGAAGGATTTTATTCGTCCGATGTTAAGCTAAGAACATTCCTTCTTTTCAAGGCGTCTGTCTTCTCCCCCATCACGAGTGTTCGAGTGTTTTTACATTTCGTTACGTGGTTAAAAACCACGTTGACAAGAGCGGCGGGAGAGAAAAAACTTCAAAATTAGCTGCTGAAGCCGTTGAGTTCCTCTGACGGAAAAAAAAAACAACCACAGCTGAAGCAGAGGAAGCTGAGACAGGTTGACGGAGAGTGGGTCCAACAAAAAAAGCAAACAAGCTTCTATTCATCACCTGGTGGAGGAGTTTCTAGAAAAGGTTTTTGTAGAGGAGAGCCGACTGCGCCTCCCTGAGTGTGACTGCGCGGCGTCAGAGATCTGCCACAGCTTTGACACCAAAAGTGCAAAATATTTTCTTCTTCACTTGTCTGCAATCACGTCTCCCTCTTCTCCCCCGTTAGCTGACAGCCTAATATCACACCTCAAGCAAAGAGGACAGAAATACAATATTATAAACCTCCCCCCTCCTTCCCCCTCTCCACGATCTCGCTGCCTAATTACCATCCGTCACTATGGAAACCATTTGGCTGAGTGAGTAATCACAGTAATCTCCATCTGAGGTGCTTGAAGACGTGCTCACCTTGGAGACGGCGAGGTGCACGTCTGCATGGAAATGGCACTCGCCGTTCTCTGCAGTTACATTTGCATGAGTGGAATTTGCGGACATTTGAGCGTGGCGTGAATGTTTGTGATGTGAACGCACAGAGCGTTGGAAACGAGTTGATCTGCTCCGAGACGATCCGCGACATTAGATTCCTCAAAATGAATGTGAGTGAATGGAAACGTGTCAGAAGGAAGAAAAGACGAGACAAGAGACCTGAGAGAAACAGAGTGCAGCTGTTTCAGTTTTGTTTTTTAGGTTTTCAGGTCTCATCTCAGGCGCAGTGCTCCCCAGCACTACAGTACTCCCCAGTACTACAGTACTCCTGAGTACTGGTACTACAGTACTCCACGCCACTTCAGATGCATCAAATGAACGTGGTTGAAACATGATGTCGTCAGAGATGTAGACTCTAACAATCCTGCAGCTGCTTCCTCTTCTTTTATTCTTTAACGCTGCTCTACTTCCAAAAATCTGAACTTTCCAAAACACGTGGTTCAGTTTGATCTGGACTCAGACCACCGAACTACACACAAAGAGTGTGTGTGTGTGTGTGTGTGTGTGTGTGTGTGTGT